AATTGGGGAATTTCATATTGGCTAGGCTGATGAACTGCAATAAGAGTTCTGTGTCTATATTGACGGTAAAACATTTGACGGCAGAGTATCAGCCCGATGCGGAAAATGCTAGCTCCTTATTGCCTGAACTGTCTACTTCAGGCGGGCAATCGATGCAATCTTTGCCTCGTCGAGATTGACAGTAAAATATCTCAAGCAGGAACGCATTCACGAACCGGTCCAAATCTACGTCAAAAAACCAGAGATATAAAAATAATTGAAATTGAATTCATGTCCACGTGGCATTTAATTATTGGGCGGGAGCACCAAGTAGGACTGCTTACGTGGTACTTCGCGAGCACCCAAGAATTCCTCCTTGTAGAAAAGAAATTAGGTTTTGTATTTTTTTTAGTTTTTAATGAATGAAATAATGAGGTGGAAAATATAAAATTTAATTTTTTTATTTTTAATAATTTTTTAGTTGCCACGTCACTAAGTTAACGGTCAATTTTGAGAGTTGACTGGCACATCAGCAAAAGTTAACAGAGTTGGACGGAGAGTGACCAAACGTGAATCGTTTCAGTAAACTACAGTACCACCAATGGATTTAAATATTTCGAGTGACCAAACTTGAACTTATTTTATAATCTCAGTGACCAACCATGCAATTAACCCCGTTCTCTAAAACTGCCAATTCGGTTGTCCCTACTATAGCGCAAAAGAAATCATTCATTTATCTTATATAAAGTTGTCCTAATTTGATTTATCTCTATGTGAAAATGAGTTTCTTCTTGTGACATATATATGATTTAAAAAGAGTTACATAAAATGGTATATAATGAATTTTTTACAATTTTTTATAACCAAGTTTATTAAAGCAACTCTAACGATGCAATCCTTCTTCACTTTCAAGTGTGGTCCCTACCACCACCTAAACAACTCTAGCAATTACCTCACTCATCAATTTCATACTAGCTACATCAATGCAATTCTAATGCGATTGCACTTCTAGGTCCCACTTACATTTTAATACCATACAAATGGTTAGAAAAAGAAGAAAGAAAAAGAAAAACAAACAAAGGACCCACTTGCAATTGTATGTCAGATTTTCATGGTGTGCAAATTTTCACCGCTTGAAAGTGGTTTTGCAGCAATGTCATCTACTTTTTCAATTGCACATGGCTGCCACCTCAGCTTGCAACTCCCTCCATTGCACCATTGGAGATGCTCTTACAGGTAATAGAGTGAATTTGATTTAAAAACCATAAATTCAAATTATGAAGGTTATAAACTTGGTTTGGGTAAATTCCAAGTTTGGTCACTAAGTTTACTAAAATGTGTCATATTTAGTCATTGCAAAAAAATAATATCAATTTAGGTCGCCCAAATTACTGAAACGATCCACATTTAGTCACTCTTAGTCTTTGTCCAACTCCGTCAATAGAGTATGTTATGTGCTGAATTGGGTAAGGGGATTGCCTAGTCAGCGTCATTTTGGACCGAAAATGATGAAACTCGACCCACCATGTCACTAAACCGTTCATGTCATAGGCCCAATCCAACGCATTAACCCAACCTGACACTATTCTCCATCTCTACCATTGCCTCCCTACTTCTCCATTTTCTGTTTCACATCGCCAGGCAAACCCTCCATCGTCCTTGTTATCACTCTCTCCTTTCTCCACATCACTGTCGAGTTCCTTCTTAGCTCCACCGCCCCAGCGCTTCTTCATGACAACGGCCTCACTGTTGCTAAGCATAACTTTGTAGACCTTACACGAAGACCCGCTCCAGATCACATTGTCGTCGTCGAGTGCGTCCAGCTCGTACTCGCTAAATCCGAGCTTGTTGTTCTTGTACTTGAAGTAGAACCAGACGACTCCAATGAGGAAGACGACTATGGAAATTCTTTCTCCTCCCGCCATCGTGTTTTGCCCGGTACAATCCGGCCATGTCGCCGCACAATTCGAGATCGACGAGATAAACTCTGGGCAAGATCAAACTCGTCGGGATTTGACCCGACATCGAATTGTATATCGCCAGGACCTCTTCGATTTCCCCCTTCTCGCACAGAGCCGCAGGAAGTGAGTCGGTGAACTGATTATTCGACAGGTCTAGCCATCTCAATGACGAGTTTTTCCGGAGATTATGAGGCAAATCGTCGGTAAGTTTGTTGCAGAAAAGCCGAAGCTCGTACAAATTTGGGAACGGTGAAGCTGAAGGGGGTTTCGCTTGGATTTGCTTGTTGGATTCGGGCGGGTTTGCCTGGGCGATGTGAAACGGAAGGGGGCGGGTTTGCCGCCAATGTGAAATGGAAGAGGGAGAAGTGGGGAGGTGATGGTAGAGATGAGAGTAGGGTCGGATTTGGTTCATGGGTCAGGTTGGGTTGGGCATATGACATGACGGGTTTAATGACATGGCGTGTTGGGGTTCACTATTTCCGGCCAAAACAACATTGACTAGACGATCCTGTTAGCCATGTTAGCACAAAACGGACTCCATTAATGGAGTTGGACGGAGACTAACGGACAGTGACTAAATGTGGGCCGTTTCATTAATTTGAGTGACCAAAATTGATATTAATTTTTTCCCGTGACTAAACATGATACGTGTTAGTAAACTCAGTGACCAAACTTGGAATTTAGCCAATTGGTTTAAATCGTTACACCATTTTGCAATGGTATGGTCCGGACGATGCATAACCGGTTTATGGCGATTTTAATAAAATATATATGAAAAATCATTAATATCAAATAAATTACGCATATATATAAACTATATAAAAAAAACAATCTACATAAAATATACATTCATGTTTGTATCAATTTTAATCATTTATATAAATTGTCAATTAATTTCACCACGTCATTTTGTTTAGAGCCCGAAAATCGATAATTCCAGTCGGCCATCGTATTTCCTGATTTTAACCCTCGTTTCATATCGGGGTATTGTAGTCATTTTGTATTGTGTACCGATTAAACTCGATTGTAGTAGCTGTCAGCCTGTCACTGCACTAAATCCAATATCCAAACAACAATCTTTCAAACCCATAATAACCCAAATTCATCACGAGCTGTTCGTTGTCCAAATTGATCAATGATCCAATTCAACCTGGAGAAAAATTCAATGATCCGTAATCACCCAAATCCATCTCCAATACTTCCGAATCCAAACAACTCTCAGACTTAGCATAAGATCATATACTCCAAATCAATCCTTAATCCTATCGAAACTCAGATACAACCTCTTACAAAAAGAGATTTAGTTAGTTAACGACTTATTGACAAATGTGGAACTCGAAGCTTTTACTAATTCCTTAATTAGTCAACCGGCCTTAAGGATTGATTTAGTAATTAGTACACTAATTAGTCGACAATTTTTCTTCGAATGCTTTCCATATGCCATCATCTGGCTCCCTCGGCCACCTCCAATAGTTCAAACTACGGTCGATTCTTGTTCCTCCCATCCTGTAGCAAACCCAAGTCTCCCAATCTGACTTATCACTTATCGACAGTCATTAGCTTCAAAAAAAAATTGTAAAAGCAAACCTCAAGAACAACAACAAACTAATGACGACATCTGAGTGTAACAAAACTTTCAGGTCGATCGGACCAAGAGCCGGTTACCATGGTCAAAGAAAATCATTTCCACTAACGGCCGCTTATTCCCTAGTTTGATAGATATTTGGCAAATACGCCTCTTCCCTCTTTGTTAACTGCGATACTGCCACCAACTGAAGCATCATCGAAGCTGTCACCGACGGCCAAGTCGCCATCGGCGGAGCCAGCCCATATTTGGGAGGGGGAAAATACCACACATATATGGGTATCCAACATTTATAATAAGTAAGATAAAAGGATATTTTGTTACTGTAACACAACTCGTATAACAATTGACAGAAAAGTAATTAATTTATTTGTTCCATTCATGACGCTATTATTCGACAACAGCTTGTTGGACATCATCATGATGTTACGGGCTGATGAGAGATTTCCGTGGATTGAAAAGAATTGATGAATTTTTTCAAATAATAGTGGACACAAAACTGCATCAGTCATATACGTAAGTTTATTTGCTTCTGAGTCTAGCTAGTTTTGATTCTACCATTTGCAACTGTAAGTGTAGAAAGAGCAATTTTAGCTTTGAGCTATATTATGATTAAGTTTAGTTGAAATCAAATTGGCGATCAATTTGCTAATGATTGTTTAATGGCAAACATTGAATTATTGAAAGAGACTTACCGAAAAGTGTAGACAACGAATGTATTTTACATTTATTTCGTAATTTTAAAATTCGTCATGATTGTTTATGGAACAATAATTTTATTACTCGGTTACTTCATTATCTATGAATGAATTATTTAGATATTATTAGTTTTAATTATATTTATTAAATAGGGTGATGCTTATTTTTTATCCAAACATTTTTCATATTCTTTTATATTATTCAAATCTATTAAAATGTTATGAATTAGCGAAATATTTCGGAATGCATCAAATATTAACTATTTTTACGTTATCGTTAATAATTTTGTAACTCTTTTCTTGGTTAAAATACTAAAATTTTGGAATATTAACCTTCATGTGTCTCTTCCAAGTCAGTATCATGTTGCAAAGTCTTGTTAAAATACTAATAATTTTGTAATCACTTTTACTAACAAAAATGCTAAATGAAAGTTAACATTTGGCTAATTCTTAGTATTTCGATAGGTTTGTCTATTAAAAAAAATTTGAAATTTTTTTGACTAATAAATAATTATTACCCTATTAAATATTTATATTCTGAAAAAAATACAGATACTTTCAAATCCGGCCTCAGAAGCTATATATCATTATTGGCGCCCCGGAAGAACTCCTGGATCATCAGCACAGAATTCCAAAGAAGACGATTCATCAGTGCATGCGAAGCAGCAGCAAACGCATCCCCCATCTTCCTCGACCAAAAATGGTAACTCATCAGAACCCATATATTACTCTCCAATTTAAACAACGATGTTGAATATGGCGGTGTGATAACTACAGGATGGACCGGTGAAGAAACAGAGGGTCCGTGGAGGAAACAGAGCTGTGCTTCCCATCTTTGGTAATTGTTACCAATCTTCTATTTTTGTGTAGTTCTGCAAACTCAAAAGGTTCGAAAACCAACTGAGGTTCATAATTCATTGATATTGAGCTTGGTGTGCAGCTATGGAAGCGCTGGATAACATGGCATTCGTCGCGAATGCCCTCAGCCTGTTCACCTACTTCTTCAGCTTCATGAACTTCGGGCTCACGAAATCGGCCAACACTCTAACCAACTTCATGGGCACCGCCTTCCTGCTCGCTCTCTTTGGAGGATTCCTCGCCGATACCTATCTGTCCAAATTCATGGCCTGCACGCTGTTCGCCACCTTCGAATTCGTGGTAACGTATTTTTGTTTGCTACAATCGACATATTGATTCAACTAGGCTGTTAATACATTGCGGAGTTGGAAATTAAATTGTATGCTTGTGGTAGGGGTATGCAATGCTGACAATCCAAGCACATTTCGACCAACTCCGGCCCGCGCCCTGCAACGGCGGCCAGGTGATCGACCCGACCAAGTGCGAGTCCGCCACGAGCGGGCAGTCCGCCCTGCTCTACATCGGGCTGTACCTCATCGCTTTGGGCGCCGGCGGAGTGAGGGCGGCGCTGCCGGCGTTAGGAGCCGACCAATTCGACCCCAAGAACCCCGAGGAAGCTCCGAAGCTCTCCAATTTCTTCAACTGGTTCTTTTTCAGCCTGGTTACTGGGGCCGTAGTTGGGGTGACTTTCATAGTGTGGGTCGCGGAGAACAAAGGTTGGGGTTTGGCGTTTGGGCTCTCCGCTTTAGCCATCTTGCTTGCCATCTTCTGCTTTGTTCTGGGCAAGCCTCTGTATCGCATCAGCGCCCCTGCTGGAAGCCCTTTCGTCAGGATCGCGCAGGTACAGAACCGCGTCTTGCAACATTTTATTTTTTGATAATGGCGATGATATTAATAAACCAGCAAAAGGAGTACAAGAATGAAATGAACAAACAAAAAATGATGAATGTTAGCTCGATCTGAATATTGCTCACCAAAAACCTACGTTTCTGTTCTGCAGGTGCTTGTAGCAGCAATGAGAAACAGGCACATCGAAACCCCAAAGCCAGAGGACACACTGTACGAAAAGGAAGGAATCAACGGCGAAATCTTGAAAAGAACGAATCAATTCACGTTTTTGGACAAGGCAGCAGTGGTTTCAAGCACCAGCAAGGAAGGAACATACCCTTCATCAGATGATCCATGGACACTCTGCACGACGACACAAGTCGAAGAAACAAAGATCCTGATCCGAATGCTCCCAATCATCGTCAGCACGATCCTGATGAACACATGCTTAGCACAACTCCAGACCTTCACAACGCAACAGGGCAACACCATGGACCGAAACCTCGGCGGGTTCAAAGTACCAGCCTCTTCCGTCCCAGTAATCCCACTCCTCGCCATGTGCTTGATGGTCCCTCTCTACGACCGATTTTTCGTCCCCTTCGCCCGTGGCCTCACAGGCCACCCCAGTGGGTTCCCCAACCTCCAGCGGATAGGGGCGGGGCTCCTGCTCTCGGCCGTGTCCATGGCGGTGGCCGGGGTGGTAGAAACTAAGAGGAGGAATGTGGCTGTTGAGAACAACATGGTCGACTCGCTGCTGCCGCTGCCGCTCAGCGTCTTCTGGCTAGGGTTTCAGTACTGCATTTTTTCGGCCGCGGAGTTCATGACGTCTGTTGGGTTGTTGGAGTTCTTCTACTCGGAGAGCTCGGCTGGGATGAAGGCCCTGGCGACGGGGATCTCGATGTGCTCGACCTCTTTCGGGTATTACTTGAGCTCGGTGGTGGTGGATGTTGTGAACAAGGTTAGTGGTGGGTGGCTGGGGAGTAATAACTTGAACAGGGCGAAGTTGGACTACTTTTACTGGTTGTTGGCTGGATTGAGTGTTGCCAATTTGGGGGTTTATATTGTGTGTGCTTCTTGGTACAAGTATAAGGAGACCGAGGTTGAGGACGAGGAGGAAGTGGAAATGGTGGTTGCTTGAATTTTATTATTCTTTTTCTTGGTTTGCAAGCAATCCTCCTGTACTTTAGTACTTATCACATTATGGATACAAGTCATTACCTGCAATTTAAAGTAAGAAAACATTTATCCAAATGGTAAACTGTGGCCATCTATCTATTTCGAAAGCTAACCACCACCCGAACGATCCCTAAGACCAAGAGTGCAGTTTTCTGGGAGATTGATTCTCTACTGACAAACAGGTGAAATGTGAAGTTACAGAAGCTAAGGTATATAAGTGACATGGCACATTTGATACATTGCTTTCATAGGCCACATCACATATGTATATGACACTGATACATGAGGGATCCTCAGTTCACCTATTTACAAGTAATTCCATACTACCATTTCACATCCAGAGTTAAAGCCTCGGGAGGGACAAGAATGGAAGGGAACTTCGTAAACGAAAGATTTGACATCAAATTACTCCACGAAGCTGTATCTACGGCAACAAAAGGCCTAACCTTCTTCACGATGATCGGCTTCAGCTTCTCATCTTCGATTCTTGCTGTTACATCGAACCACAGTCGTTCGACCAAAGGTCTAGTCCTCCACTCTACTTGACGAGTCTTGTTCTTCTCGGGAGTCTTTTCCAGCTCCAGCTGAAAGCGGAAAATGGACGATGCTTTAACAGTTGCTCTCATAAATCCCCACAGCCAGCCATTCTGCGCCCTATCGCCGAGATACATGCTGAATACATTTTCCAGCTTTGCTATTCTGGAGTCTAGAGACTGGATCGGGCATGCCTTTTTCGTCGTCTTTTGAACATTCCTGCTGTAGCACTTGTCTGGTAGTAACTCGATCATGTTCTTGGACATGAAAACTGTGTTGATGCTCTCGACAGGGTTCCTGGTCTTGTAGGCTCTCAGTGATGCATATCCAAGAATGCGTATAGGGACTAATGGCTTGCATAAGGAATAGAAGAAGTCACGAAAGCCATTCCTTTCCTTGTTTTTCCTACTGATGCTCTCACTCTCATTTCCTGCGAAACCGAGATCAGAACCATGGAAAAGAGAGACCTCTCGCGCTCCTGTGACTTCTACAATCATTCCCTCGCCAACGACTACATGTTTCAGATTGTTGTATGAAGTGTTCAGCTGCAGAAGAGCAAAATCTGTCAGCTTGTTAGCACCAAACTCACAAGAACAAATTCAACGATACACACGGCAGACAGAATCAGTCGTAGTCATAAAGTAGGAAGAGATCAAGAAATGACTAAGGGGGCATTTTGTAACTAAGGAATGTTCTACAGTATTTTGAGAGTACGGTTTCTAACAACTTATCGTTCTCCTTGACCCAATCTAGTACGAATACCATGTATTCCATTTCTCATGTACCAGAATGCATGATATTATACATTCTAGACATCTTTGGGTTTTCCAAGGAATTCAACAGTACATCCAATTTGTGTGCATCCACCACTACAATATCTATAAACCGAACACTGTATTGTTTCTGAAATGACAATCTCTCATCTACAAGATACCCGATACGTTAACAACCACATGTACTACGCAGCTCCAAGCAAGTTTCATCGAGGTTCCATGTAACAGAGTAGTGGTACAAGCCAACTGTGCTAAAAGTTCTAATTTCCATGTATAGTTCTAATTCACTGTCCATGGTTACTTCAGTTCACTTACAGCTAATATAATAAAGACGAACAAAGCAAAAACATCTTCAGAACAAAATTCTAAGGAAGTTGCCTACAAGGCGTGATTGTTCTTTCATCAGGGCTCATCTAAGAATGCTGTTAATATACCTGTATGTGCTGAATCTCAAACACAACAGAGTGTTTCATTCGCAAGGCCGGTCCAATTATAGCGACTATGCAGAACTAAAAAGGAGGCGAAAAAGGATGGAACTTCTGTTTTACCGGCAAGGACAAGGAGAGCTGGCCGACGCCGGCGACTGACAAAACGAAGGGACCCTCGAGCTTCAAAGTGCGCAGCAGGGGTGGAACTGAGCCAACTTCCTTAACCAAATCCCGCAAACCGCCATCATCAGATTCATCATCACCCGCTGTTCGTCTATCGAACTTACTGGTACTCCAGGAATCCACTTCTTCGTCCGGGAACTTGAAAAGCAAGTAGCTTTTCCCCAACCGGATCCGGAACTCGTACCTTCGAGATGTACCCAATCTAAATTTGCTCGCTACCAATTGGGAAACCTGAATTCCTTCCCAATCCCAGTTCTGCTTCTTGGCTATGTCCTTCACGACATCCTGTGGTGGTTCCAATCCCGATTTCAGATACAAAAATCGGAAGGGATTTGCGAGAGGGGGGAAGCGAAGGGAGAAGTATTCCTACGTACCTGAAGGATGTGGGTGGTGTTACTTGTGAGAGTAAAGGCGAGAGGGGAATGAAAGCCGAGAAACCAGAGGAAAGTGATGGCAAGACCACGGCGGCTCATCGATTCGTCAGCGGTGGACGGTTGGCCTGGGGCTGTATCGCATCGGCGGTTGTGTTTGGGAGCGGCCGGGAGTTTGGGATCTGAAATGATTTAGCTTCTGGAGCTTTTGAGGTCGAAAAGGCGTACGAGTGGCGTTGTTATTTTATGTTTTTTTTTACTGGCGGTGATAACTAGCCACGATGGCGATGGTTTTCCGATGAATCCCACATTTGCCCGTTCTTCTTCTTTTTTTCTTTTTTTTGTCCTTTGCCCACATTTTGAAGTTCCACTTAAAGGCATGGAAAAGGAAACCGGATCGTACCGGCCGGTTGAACCGGTAAAACCGGATACCGGAGCGCAGGCGGTACGATACCGTTTATGGGTGCAAAATACCGCGCCGGCCGGTTTAAATGGTTTAACCGGTTTAAGATGGAATACCGGCCGGTTTAGGTCTAACCGGGGGCAGGGTAATGGAAAAAAAAACGTCGTCGTTTAGAAAAAAAAAAGTCGAATTGTCAAAACTCAAAACCCTAATCAATCGAACAAAACAGCCGCCGCGTTTCCTTTCTTCTTCGCAATTCTCCAGTCTACGATTCGCCTCTTCTCCTCTTCAGTTCTGCGATTCTGAACTTCAATCCGACGCTCCTCCTCTGGCGACCGGCGAGGCTGCGACCAGGAACGCCGAGCCCGTGACCAGCGACTGGCGGCAAGGCTTCCTGGGTTTTGAGCTCCTCCTTCACTGCGCTCCTCCTCCGCCGCTGCTCCGCGACGCGTCTCCGTTGCTCCTCTCCAGCCTCTGCTCCTCTCCCTCCTCTGCTGGCCACTACTCCGCCGCTGCTCCGCGACGCGTCTCCGGCACCGGCACGCGTCTCCCTCCCCTGAACGCCATCGACATCTGCTGACCTGAGTTGCTGAGCGGGCGGGAGGTTTTGTTTGAAGAGAGAAGCAGATTTTGTTTGAAGAGAGAAGCAGATTGGAATTCGTAAAATGGAGAGAGAGTGGAGAGAAAGTACTACTGGAAATTGGAAAGGAATAGACGAAGGGTTTTCCTTTTATAGTTGGAAAATTATTGCATGATACCTGAAATTATATTATATGTTTAGTCCCTGCAATATGAAGTTGTTTCATTATATACCTATAACTTTTATGTTGATACTTTATTATTTTATATCCGGTATATTCGATATTATTCCGGTTTTACTCCGGAACGATACTCTAATTTTGCCGACACGGTTTTTTGACAAAAAATATATTTTATTATTACAAAAACGGTATTTACCGGTACAAAACAGTTGAACCACGGTCGTACCACAAAATACCATACCAGAAAGGAATCCGGTATGATGTCCGGTACGGTTTCCTTTACCATGCTTAAAGGTAGGGATGGCGTCGGTTGGGGTGGGTTTTGTCAAACTCGAACCCAAACTCATGGGTTTATCTGCCAAAAAAAACTAGGGGTAAAACTCGTTGGGTTTGAAAAACTCAAATCCAACCCACTGGGTATCCGCGGGTTCATGGGTACCTTTGGATTTTTGTGGTAAAAAATTACAATAACAAGTTTCTTTCAAAATAAAAGTTTAACATAAATTTTATCATACAAATTATTCATACAAAAACACCAATCTAGAGCATACAAGCAAACCGCACATAATCAATACAAATTGTTCAAAATTAAAGATAAACATCTATAAACAACATGATTAATTGAAAACTTCTTCCTCCTTGTCAACTAAGCTTCTTCACTCACCATTCCATAATTTCAACTTCATTCTAAACAATTAGAAAGAACAAATTATACATGTTTCCACAAACATAAAGAATATTAGTTGTTTATGAAAGATATATTGTTTAGAATATTAAATATACCGGGAAAGTGTTATATGTGTGTGAGCGAGTTTACCTAAATCCAAACCCAACCCGATGAACAGTGTAGCGGGTTTAAACCCGAACCCGGCCCAAAACCCGTCAACATGGGTTTTACCCACGTTGACCTGGTTGGGTCAGATGGGTACCCCGTGGGTTCGGGTTTTGTTGCCATCCCTACTTAAAGGTTTGAAGTGTCGATGCAGGTCCATCACTTTGGATTCACTGTTGACCGGCGGTGAAAATAAGGTAATGGGCAAGGTTGTCAAACCGGTTTATATCGTTGTGTCGGTTTGGAAAATGAAATGGTACGACCAGTGGTATAACTAGTTTGTGCCGGTTCATGTCGGTTTAAAAAACTGTGAAAATAATTAATATTCAATGTATTTAATCATATATGAAATATATTTGTGGACAATTTACTTACAATCCAACAAATATCATCAATTTTTAGTTATTAAATTCATAAAATGAATAAAATTTTTACTTTTTTTATCAATTAAATTCATTAAAATGATATCATTTTTCTTAGAATTCGTAAGTCAATCATGCCAGTCATACCGGTGGTGTCATACCGGTTTCATGACCGGCACAATTTCAATCAAATTCAACCAGCCGGCATGCCACTGACATGACAACCATGATAACGGAAAAAGAGTTGGTCGTTGCAATTTTACTATCATGGTCTGGTGTGAGTATTTAAGCGCATATTAACAATGTTTGATACTGAAATTTTTTAGCAGCTAAATCAAACATTGACATCAACTGTCAAAATATGACCACATTACTCCTAGGGGTCGTTTAAGGATTGTAATGAGTTATTTGTGAGAGAATTTAAAACAATCTCTCATTTTGCAGGATTTTAAAATAATTCTGCGTTTGGAAAGATGAATAAGAGTTTGAAATATGAAAGAGGCAATTAAACAACATAAACTTGCATTTAGCACATCGCTCGAACGGGAACATGACTTCCTTATGTACTTAATCTCTCATTCATCTGTACTCACAGAATCGAATCCTTAACACTCGAGATCGAAACAATTGGGGAGTAAGAAATTCCAAACACAACATATGCTAGAAGTAAACAAACTGACAAGGAAACGAGAGCATTGATACATTCATTTCCTGTGGTGTCCTGAGAAGCAAGCCTGTAATCGCAACACCTGCAAATCAAACATATTCATGAGCATCATGATGCAGCATCACAATCCATTTCACAAACTCCTCTCCATCTTCCTCCTCTTCGTTCTTTCTACCCAAACTCTTCCCACCATCTTAGAACTCCTTACAAATTCCATTGCACCTAAACAAGAGTTCAGGGTTTGCCATGAGGGTCTAGAGTCTAGACTGTCTCCTCCTCAGCACTTGCAGGTTGTATTCACAGCTAGCCCTTTCCACAACACCGGCACAGGGTGATAAACATCAAATGAATGATCATAGATACAGCTTGCCCTTACATTGTTCCCAACAACTCGTTTGTTGTTGTACCATTTTGGAAACCATCAATAGGAAGACATATGCACCGCCGGCCAAAGCTCAGGTCGACAAGGGCATGGATACAAAGTTATAAACTGAAAAAAAAAATACCCATAGAAATAAGCAGCAGGCTGAGAGCAAGCGGGTGAAATAATATGGCTCACTTTTGAGCCAAGTGTGTTTGTTTGACACATCATTCGCAGCTTCCCAAGCAGAAGGGAAAACTTTCATTGAAGTTATTCGAGATATCCACTTCTCTTGATGCCTAGAGGAACAGCTGCTTCAAGAATTTGCAGCGCAAGCATTGCCAACAAGGCATTGCTGTTCGGTACTCTTCCCAGCTTGGGGACCATACAGCATGTTAGTGACCTTGGATGGAGGCCAGTAACGAAACACAGATCTACCCACAATGTTCTGGACAGGCAGTGGACCCCTGAGAGTTAAGTGAGAAATAGTCTTATTTAGATGTCGACAAGTAACCACATATTAGTTTTGAAATGCTCCTACTGCATATAAGATGCAATAAGCTTCAACCCAATAGAAAGGGAGTTGAACTGAAAAGGTAAGTTCTTAATTACCAGTTGTGGGAATCAAAGCTGTTGTTCCGGTTGTCCCCCAACACAAAGACGTAACCTTCTGGCACGAGCTGAAAACCACAAGCAGCACCACACACTTGTTAGTGAACATAATCACGAATGGCTTGTTAACACCATGTGAAGAGAAAAAGAAGTAACAGGTAAGACCAGATGCATTACCATGGGTTCCATCTCATAATCAAGTGGCTCCGTGACAAACTCTTCATCTTTTGCAACACCATTGACATACAATTTCCCCTCACGAACCTGTAAGCAATAATGCCATATATGTCAAAAGGGGAACCAGTTATCCTCATCTAAGGTGTGAAAGAAACACAGAATGAAAGATATGTAGATCAGCAACGAACCAAAGACCTGTTTTTCTCATTTCAATAAGAAAGGCCAATCAATTGCGACAGAGAGGCTTACTTCAACAATGTCACCAGCCTTGGCCACAATTCTCTTGATGAACACATCGCCTGAACTATAACCAATTTCCTACAATTACACGAGCAACAAACCCATCAATAGCCTGAAATTATCATCAACTATATTCCAAAATTAAATGGGCCTAGAGCCTTATGATACCTGCAAGATTGGAGGTGCCTTGAATATCACTATATCTGAAACTTCAGGCTTCCTGAAGAAATATGAAACCTGAACAGAACAGAGCACCCAGCAGAGTCAACAAAACCACTCTATCTACATTCTATTCTGTTCATGGAATTCAGCAGCTGCAAAATGATCAAGAGGGGCATGTTTGGCTTACCTTCTCTGCTAAAACACGGTCGCCCACATCCAGAGTGGGATACATAGAAGTGGAGGGGATCGATCTAGGCTCAGCCAGAGTTGACCGGAACAGCAGACTGACCGTGGCAGCAGTAAACGCCGCCTTGGCATCTTCCGACAACCGCGACAACCAGCTACCAACCTTGTCAAAATCCTTACCGCTAATCTCCACGCTCACACAAGTCTTAGTGGTATTATTCTCCACGCATTGCACCGTTCCTCCTTTATCCACCTCACGGCTCTTGGGTGAAATGTGGGGCTCGTTGCAGGGAAGCCAACGCGATCCTTGCAAAAACGGGAGGATCGAGGCGGGTTTCACCGGAGAAATATTGAAGAGCGACAAGGATGTGGAAGAAGAAGAAGATAGGCCAGCCGTTAACTTCACCAGCGAGATCAATCCGGCGGCGATAGGACAGTAGGCGCTATCTCCCAGCGCCTCGGCGACCAAGGAGCTGTAGGACCGGTGACTCGGCTGGAAACTGCGGCGGGACTTCTGGTCGGAATCGACGCTCTGGTTCGACGGGGAACCGAAGATCCGAGATCGGACCCAGCACTCCGTGACGGAAGTCCGGCAGCTCCCAGCGCGAGCACCGGCGGAGGAGGCGAGGTTTTGGGCGACATAGCCCGAGAAGGAGAAAGTAACCCGGATAGCCATGACTAAGAATTGGAATAGGAAGACGAACAAGTGATGAATAGCGCGCTCGCTAACTAACGGGGTGAGCTCGAGAAAGCTTACAAAGAAGTATGAGACATTCCCGACGACCGAATCAGTGAATCGGAGACGTTGGGGTTGAATCGGAGGTGGAGGTCAAAATTGGGTGCGGAATTAGGACGAAGAATCAACGAATCGGAATCCAATCAAAGAATTTTTTTCTAGGGTTACTGAGATTTGGGGGAGAAGGGGGGATTTTCCTGGGCTGTTTTTGTTTTCCCCGGCTTCCGCGGAGGAAGGAGGAAGAGGAAAGAAAAAAAAGCTCCAGGAATTAAGCGACGCCGTGAGATAGGAAGGAAGAAAGAAATCGCCGAAATTTTGGGGGGCGGGTTGAGTTTTATTCGCGGCGGCGCGGAGAGAGAGGATAGGGAGTTGGGACTTGGGACAGTGGACTTGGGTTTTGAGTTTATTTACGAAATAACCTGAGTTTTCTGTTGTTGCCCAATTAAGGGGTCGTTTGCTTCAAGGATTTTATTACGAGATTTTTGTTATGGATTTGCTAATTAAAAATCTTGGGATTTATTAGGGATTTTGGGCACCATGGATTTGAGGAAATCATTTGTTTGTTGAGCTAATTTTATCAAGGATTTGCTGATTTGGGATTTATTACTGAAAAGTTTCAATTACCTTATTACCCTTTGTTTTCTTTCCTTCTTCATAAGCCCCCACGAAAGGCTCTTCTTCACCATCACTTCTCCAATTGTGACGGGTCTGCAGAGGCGACGACAAGCACACGAAGCTGGGGAATAACGAGAAGGCACAAGAAGCAGAGGCAACGACGAGGCACAAGAAGCAGAGGCAACGACGAGGCACAAGAAGCTGGTTCAGAAGAAGGTATGTTCGAACCCACTTCCATTTCGCTTTTCCCATTTCGCTTTTGATTCTTCATTTTGAGTTCGATTTCTCCTTCGATGGCAGTGGGGATTTCAATTAACAAATCCAGTCATCTCATGGAAAGTAAAGGGAAGATTGTGACAGTTCCAGATGCATTCTGCTATGAGGAGGAAGAGGTTCTCTGTTATTGCGGGCTGAGGGCGGCTAGAAGAATCTCTCATACTGCTGGGAACCCTAACCGCAAATTTTTTGGATGCCCCCTGTTCAGTCGTTCAAAGGATAACAAATCCTGTGATTACTTTGAGTGGTTTGACATTAGAGCTGCGGTATTCAAAGCAACTGCACCGCTATCTGAAATGGTTTCGATGTTGGAATCTGAAAATAGGGAGCTACGCAGTTTGTTACAGATGGTAATGAAAGATGGACGTGGAAAACATCAACCGAACGAGTTTGCTGTTGAGCTAGAACTCATCAAGCAGAGGGTACAACGTCTGGAGTTAGAGGGTAGTAGTAGGAAATGATTGGAAGTAGATCATGCTGTTGTATTTCAGTTCAGTTATGAATGTGTAAGATTAGTATGTACTATGTTGTCAATGAATTGGAATGAAACAATGTATGTACTCTGAGAATCTCTTTAAACAAGCATGTTGGTGGGGAAATTCATTCACACTGTTAACTGAAATATCCAGGTTGCTTACTGATCGAGCAATTCATCAACATTGTTACACAATGAACCTGCAAAATACAGCCTGCTACAAAAGAGTTCAGCAGCTTGTATAATCCTTGAAACATTAACAACACATGTTGGTATGTAATGAAACTTAAGCAAAATGACAGTGTGTCCACCACCAACGCTTGCAACAGCCAAATCTCGGATGATCTAACCTTGCACAAAAACAAAAGTTTCACATCCATACCACATGTGTTCTGCAAAATAGAGTACCAAGTAGTTCATACACAAGCCTAATCAGCGTAGCAGATTCTTGATGAAGTAGCATCGGTCCTCATCGCTTTCCAACGCATAGAAAAGTCTAGTCTTTGGATCATTGTCTACTAAAGCCATAGCAGCATCAATGACTTGGCCACGCGTGAGTCCATCGATCTTGCCTATCTCCTTGATCAAGGCAGCCTGCTTGCTGTTGTCACCATCTCGCTCACTTCGCTCACTTGTTATGGATCCAAGTGCTTCCACAGCTTTGAATAATATCAGCTTCAACTCACCAAGTTGAGAGGACACATTAGCTATAGCTGAATCAGTTGCCATTTCACTCTTCTTAGCCCTTTTCTTCAATTTTTGGATGCTGCCAGCTCCACTTTTTGGTTTCTGAGTAGTTGGAGTGGCTTGTGTTTCAGCTTCCACGGCAGTTGGATGTTGCATATCAATGCCCTCATTGATTATGTCCTCTAGTATCTCTGTGCATCTCTGGTCATCTAGATCAATTGGCGTGTCAAAGCCTTCCATATGCAGAAGATTTTTAGGAGATGGTGGTCCGTCACAAATACCACCTGTAACTCTTCCAGCTGCTGTCCCACCTTTACCAAAGATCTCAAGAAGCTCGTTGTAGAAGGGAAAAGGCACTTTGTTCAGGTTTTTTACGTTAGGATGCACCTAGGGGAGCAAACACAGCCATTCGCAAGAAGTTAGGACAAAAAACCAAAGATTAGGCTTTGTTTGTATACAACAATTTTGTTTCATACCTTTAGAAGGTCTTCAAACACATCATCATCGATAATTGGTGTACATGTGGTCTCATCCCAGCCTTGTCCACTCTTGGAACGAAGCAAGTGAACTGCCATGAAATCCCTTTTCAGCTTCTTGTGCCTTGACCTAATGTTTGGATCAGCTTTCACTCCACAACCAGGGGCCTTCTTGTTCATCATAAGCTCTAGCTCAGTAAAGGATCCACTCTTGAAATTGCCATTCTCAACTTGGTGCTTATGAACTAACTCCTGCATACACTCTATGAGAATAGCATCCAACCTTTCAGTCCACGAGAAATATGGCCCCTTTGGCTGAGGGACTTGGCTGCCCTCTCCTACTCCTACTCCTTCTCCTTCTCCTTCTTCTACTTCTATCTTACGCTTTCTCGGCCTAGGCATCCTGTAAAAACAACATAACAAAATACAATATAATAACAATAAATACAGTAGTTAAACACGTTTTGACAAAACAAACAATGGATTGTACCAAAAAACTTGATAGTTGGTTTTTTGGTACCAAATCCATGTACCAAATCCTTGAAGCAAACGACCCCTAAATTGGAGAGAGATAGAGGATTGATCAATGAATTGATTAATTATCAATTTAGATCAAATTACTGTTTGTTTATTGAATTTCATAATGAATTTTGTTGAACTGGATTTGTAGGTATGAAATATGATTTACCTTATCGACTTTATTTTTAAGGGTGTGCCTATGGTGACATGCATGTTACCACCGTAACATGAATTTTTCGGTCGACCTAATAATGAAGGAGGTCGACCGAATTGACTAATTTGGGCACAACGAGAAACCATCGCGGTCGACCTCAAAGATCATCTGGTCGACCATACGTAGTTTAAGTTGTTATTTTTGGTCAACCACAATACAACCTTGGTCGGCCATTTCGTTGGCGTAAGAAACAACATGGTCGGCCGTAACGGTATATAGGTCGACCACTTGATGCCGGTCATTAACGACATGGTCGACCATTTACAGAAAGAGGTCGACCAGATAGAAGAGAAGTGTTCTATCCATTTGTCCAATCATCATTTGACGTAAAATGAAGATTAAATGTTGGTTTTGAGGTCGACCTAATCTGGTACGAGGTCGACCGAATACAAGAAAGTCAACCTATGCCCCGTGTCTTTTTTGCTTATGTATGTCGATTTGTGTGGTTCCTTTGCTCGTACAAATTATGTTTCAAACCATCATAACTAGTCATAAATAATGATAACAAGGACTTATCACTTCATAACATTAACAACTAAACAAACTAACAAGAAATACAATAAAACACAAATAATAATAATTGTTCACACATAAAAAAAATTAAAACAACAGAATAACAATTAACAATCGTTTTTAACACTTAACAAAAGAAACACATAATCTAAAATCATAGAGTTCCTACTCCTGTCCCCTCTCTCCCTCATCCACATTTTCTTCATTATTGTTGCTAGCATGATGGTAGTCGGATGTGGTGAGATGCATGTATCTTCCACTGAAAGATAGAAACTCATCTCGCATCTCATTCAAGATCACTTGCATTGTGCTCATCTGGGTGGTCATTTGCCCCATGTAGTCGTACATGCTAGTCATCTGGGTGGACATCTGGCCCATGTATTCGTACATATGCCATCCATGCGCTCCTACACACGCTCTAAGGTGACCGGTGGAGCTGAACTCTGTGTTTGCGGCATTGGCTCGTCTCCAGCTCCTTCATCAGAATCACCATCATCATCCTCATCATCACCACCATGGACATCATGAGCATTGTTTATGCGAACATACTCACCATTATGCAGCTCAAAGCCCATCTTTTTTAAGAGATAAAACTGTATAGAACTCTTGCCTTGAGATTCTTAAGCCAACCTCACCACTTACATCCACATTAAAATGCTCAAATAGCAAAGTCAGGATCATCCCATAGGGAAGATTCCTGTTTGAACTCTCTGCAACAGTAAGCATGTGGTTAAAGATCAAGTATGGCAAGTTCACCTTCTCGTCTAACAGTAGGTTGGTGAGGAGCTCCATGTCGAAATAGGTGACTGTCTCCCGATGTCCACCCTTTGGCAGAATGTTGTAGGAAAGCATGTGGTGAAGAACTCTGGCTTGAACTGTCAGGTGGTTACTCGTTGGCCTACTGCGACCCTGAGCATCTTCCTCTTCATCAAGACCACATACCGTCTGGATTTGCTTGGCTCTCAAGAAATGAGTTTCATTCCAAGCAGTGTAAGAATTTATTCTCTTCCCTTCGTTTGGAGCCTCTAGTACTTGCGCCAACACATTCTTGCTGATGCGCATCTTCACCCCATTCACATAGCTTTTAAATGCATGAATGGATCCATTTGCATTATGCTGATAGGTGGTGTTGTTGTGGAAGTACTGTACCATTTTTGAGTAGTATGGTGCATTTAGAGATATCACCTTCAGCCACTCTTTGCTCGACAAAGGGTCCTAGAAACCCGTAATTCTCGAAATGAGAATACGCATCCGTCGTCAATGGCCTTCTAGGAGCCACCTTGCGGTTGTGCATCCTCCTCTCTTCAAATTTGTCACTTTTCTCCTTGGTCTAGAACAAAGAGGGGCTGAACTCTTCCCATTCCGAAACTTGAGGCAGCGGCTTTGCTTGCCTTTCTTTTCTTTTTGCCGCCAAACATCCTGAGATCAAACAAGCGAGAATAAACATTAGGAACATTATTTAAATGAACAAAATTCGGTCGACCTCTCCTTAAATAGGTCGACATAAACACTGCACGTATAGAAGGCCAAAGCTCGTATTTTTGCCATCATAGGTCGACCCCAGAAACATCATAGGTCGACCTC